CGGGTAATGGTATTTGTTCGGTTTTTCCAAACATTGGGTTATTTATGCTTTAAAAAGGTATAAAATCAGTTAAGGAAACGAACGGAATAGCACAGCTTCTCTCTCAACCCTTTTATCTACGCTAACGTACCACTGTTGAAAAAGAAACACAACCGACCGACCTTCAAATCATGTTCACCTATTTTGGAGTAGTGATGATAATTTCAGTCCTAGCATGTTCGGCAATAGGTAGAGTTGCATAAATATTTATTTCTCATTTTTATGTTCAAATGTTTTTTTTTCAAGAAGAGTTGGACGATAGCTACGCAGCGCAGGTGATTGAGCAGGATCTCAACCCAAAAATGATAGTAAAACGTAAGCAAACTTTTAAATATACCTTAGGCGTTTACCCAATGCCACAACGATGCAACTTGCTTTTCAGGTCAAGCCGGCTGTGGATCGTATGAATAGTGAGTAATCTGTCGTTTTCTCAAAACCTTCATAGGTTCTCTACTCTTATTCTTTCTACAAAACTTATTCTTTTAGTTGTACAGCTTGGAAGAATAATGGTTTCTGCAACAGCACTTTCTACCATGATGATCTCAAAAGAAAGTTATGCGGAATACCATGTGGGCTATGCTAGGGCATTGCAGATGAACGAACCTGACATTGATATTCTATGAACTTGAGCTGCATTAGCATTATTTATTATTTGTAGATGAGTAAGCATATGGTATTATGATATAGTTTGATATTTTTTGGATAAGAGGAGGGAAATAAAGCTTTTTAGTTTCAGAATTTCTATTCTTTGGAGAGAAAGACGTGCTTTACATAGCATAATGGTGAAATATCCTTGTGAGCTCAACTCACTTTTTATGCTAAAACCATGAATCCTTACTTGGGAGCTGGGAGCCTACACTACGAGCAAGAATGACGAATATCTAGGATTTTAGTTGAAAACTAGAGAATTTTTTTCAAATGACGAATAGCGAATATTCGTTTTTGATGAAAACATTAGCACGAATGAACAATATTTTATTTGCGAATATTCGATCGATTATTTGAATAATTCGGACTTACAATATACTCGAGTGCAAATATTCGGCCTCAACTATGTTCAGGATCTAAAGTTCAGATGCTTTTCCAATTCTGTCCTTTTTACATTATCGAGGAACGTGAATTGGCTACGTTGGTTCTGTAGAATGAAATTTCAACATTATATAAATTAACAAACAGCTCACTGAAGACTTGAAGGCGTTCTTAATTTGGAGAGCTCACCAAATAGCGTTTGCTGCTTGCTGTTGCAAAATAAGGGCTACATCAATGGAGAGGTAAGGTTGCACTAAGAGGCACTCATAGGAGATCTTTTCCACAGTCACACTGGGCCGCCATTATCAAT